CTTTTCCCTGTCCTAGCTGTGCTTTGCCGTGTCCATGCTGGGCAACCCAGCGGTCCTGCTCCTGGATGAGCCATCAGCTGGCATGGACCCCAAAGGGCAGCACTGTGTCTGGTGAGTAGGATGTTGTGCACTGTGCCATCACAGTCACAAAGGGTGCAGTGCCTAAGGCCAGGTGTTTGACCCCATCTGCGGTTAGTGCTGCTTATCTCTTGCCAATGGTTTTAACTGGAAATTCCATTTTCTTGGTTCTGTCCAGCTAAAATATGAGTAAAGAGAAAGAAAAAACATTTCACTTTCACCCTTATTGCAAATCTTCATAAAGGGACCTGTCCAGCCTGGAGAAGAGAAGGCTGCGTGGAGACCTCAGAGCAGCCTTCCAGTATCTGAAGGGGGCCTATAGAGATGCTGGGGAGGGACTCTTCATTAGTGACTGTACTGATAGGACAAGGGGTAATGGGTTCAAACTTAAACAGGGGAAGTTCAGATTGGAGATAAGGAGGAAATTCTTTCCTGTTAGGGTGGTGAGGCACTGGAATGGGTTGTCCAGGGAGGTTGTGAATGCTCCATCCCTGGCAGTGTTCAAGGCCAGGTTGGACGAGGCCTTGGGTGAGGTGGTTTAGTGTGAGGTGTCCTTGCCCATGGCAGGGGGGTTGGAACTTGATGATCTTAAGGTCCTTTCCAACCCTAACTATTCTATGATTCTATGTATATATATACATATATATACACACACATATATTCTAATAGTATTATTTCAAAGTATTATCATGTGCACATCAGTCTAAAGTTGCTGTATGTGAATTTTTACACTTGTTTTAGGGGAGAGGCATTTGGAGCGACAAAGGTATAAGAAAAAGTGTCCAATACTCCTAGGGAACGCTAACTTTATTTCTCCTTTTTTATCCCCCTTCTGGTCCCCAGGAAAACGCTTCGTGCTGCCCTGAAAACCAAGGAGTCAGGAGCCATCCTTTCCACACACCACATGGAGGAGGCGGAGGCAGTGTGTGACCGTGTGGCCATCCTGGTGTCGGGGCAGCTACGGTGGGAATGCAGCTGAGCTGGGAAACAGGGGCTCCTCCTCCATCCTCACCTACCTGAGCCCATCACCATGGGCTTTACTGAGTGCTCCCTGTGATTTCACCAGTTTGGGAAGGAGCAGATGATGGGGCACCAATGGTTTCACACGCGCATCTCTTCTTTTTCCTCCCGTCCTGCAGGTGCATTGGCTCCGTTCAGTACCTGAAGAACAAGTTTGGCAAGGGCTATCTGCTGGAAATTAAGGTGAAGGATCCGGAGCGCGCTGAGCTTCTCCATGCTGAGATTTTGAGGATTTTCCCAAGCGCAGCCCGTCAGGAGCGGTAACTATAAAATACGGGATGAACGGTGGTTTCAACACAAATTCATCCCTGAAAATGTGCCCAGTGTGATGGCCAGACTCAGGATCTCAGCTGGAGATGGATGACCAGCTCAGAGACCCTCTCTGGTGATCTCATTTGATAATGTCACCACATCCAACCCTGCTGTGACCACTGCAACAAAACATGCACATATCCAGCTCATAGCATGACATAAAGGTTTGATCCCAGGACCTCAGTACAGACCAGGAATCATCTTTGCTTCTTTTTCTTCAAGGTTCCCTTCTTTGCTCATCTACAAGGTCCCAATGGAAGATGCACTGCCCCTGTCTCAATCTTTCGCCAAGCTAGAGGAAGGTAAGAGCACAACACGGTGACTTTCTGAGAAGGTGAAACACAGACTGTCATTTTTTGACTCTCTTTCCATTTCTCCATAGCCAAACGTAACTGCAACCTTGAGGACTACAGCTTCTCTTTGAACACTTTGGCTCAGGTGGGTGATTTCAAGGCTGGATATGCTGTAAAGGCATGAGCAGGAAGAAAAGCTGCAGTGAGATCTGGTGGAGCAATGAGGCTCCACCAAAAGACTGTTGGGGGTGGTGGGTAATGGATCCTCTCCTGGGAAAGTGGTGGAAAATGGGCTGGGGTTTTTGCACTGCAGGGATTTAACATGATGGGAATAAGTGTAGGCAAATTGTTGCTGCCTGGCTCCACTCACCCAAGTCAGGAACACAGCACATCTTGTCCATTTCAGGTGTTTCTGGAACTCTCCCGAGAGCAGGAAATGGATAATTTTGACCTGACTTTGGATGGGGCTTTTGAATGGAATCAGCTTCAGCAGGAGGACTGTTAAAGATCCAGGATGCTCATTTACACATTACTCCATACTAACCCAGTGTGATACTGCACATATTTACTATCATTATCAGTGTACCATGAAGAGGAAGAGCAGTTCTACCTTTCCAGCAAGCATCTGCTGAGGGCTCCTCTCCAATGCAGAAGACATTTCACCTGGACATTGCAGGTGCCTACATTAACCCCGACCCCAACCAGCATTTCCAATGGCTGGTTGATGAAGCAGTGCCTGCACTGATGAAAGCTCTCATCAAGCACAGCAGCACACAGCAAAGGGACAAAGAGGTTTGCAGGGATCATAACCCATCTATGGGGATCGGGGTTCTGCTTTGCTCAGTAGATGTGGGTGCATCAGGGAATTCTGGACATGCTGCCAACTTTCTGGGCTCCCACCAATGTGTGGGGCTATTTGCCTCCGATGTGTTTAAATACATCTTAATGAAATTTGCACTCTATTTTTATACCCTTCCAATAAATGTCTCTATAGAAACTGCCTTTACAGCCTCGTATGTCCTCATTGTTGTGGACCGTCAGGAACAGCTCAGACTGCTTCCCATGGGGACGGAGGTGGCTACAGAGGTGCAAGAGCTACTGGTCAGGCCGTTGTGGTCCCTCCTGTTTGCTGTCTCCATCAGCCTGGAGAAGAGAAAGCTTTGCAAAGATGCTGTAACAGCCTTTCATTACTTAAAAGGGGCTTATAAGAAATATGGAGGCAAACTTTATATCAGGGCCTGTTGTGGTAGGAAAAGAGGAGATGGTTTTAAAATAAAAGAGGGTAGATTTAGACTGGATATAAGGAAGGAATATTTTACAATAAGCAGTGAGACACTGGAACATGTTGCCCAGCAAGGCGATAGGTGCCTCACCCTTTTAACATTTAGGATCAGGTCAGACAGGGTTTTAAGCAGCCTGTTCTAGTTGAAGATGTCCCTGCTCACTGCAGGGGGTTGGACTAGACGGCCTTTAAAGGTTTTTTCCCACCCAAATCATTCTATGATTCTATTATTCTCCTCCTGACAACTCAGGCACATTTTATCCCTGTGCCCAGCTCCTTTGCAGAGGTTAAAACTCATAGAACAAAGGTGGCCCAGTTCTCTTTATCCGATCTGCAGCAGTGGCTGTGTCGCAATCACTGCTTGGGTCTGCTCCCCACTTGGCTTTGAAACAGATTTTGGCACTTGGAGGACACAGAGGGCTCGTGATTGTTTCCCTGCTGATTGCACAACAGCTCCATCTGTAATCCCCACCCCTGGGAAGTGCAGTCACCAACACTGCAGTCACCTGTGCACACACGCAGCTCCAGGAAATGGGAAGAGTGATGTAAAGAAACAAACAGCAATAAAAGCCCCACCTAAGTCCTGCTCCAGAGAGAGCACTTCTGGCATCTGAGTGGAGTGCACTGGGATTCAGGCAAGACATGAAAGCAGAGAGCAGGGCTGAGGTATGAAACCCTGTGGCAATTGCATTTCCTTCTCTGAGGTGAAGAGCATCTCCTGCCTTGGCGATTCCTTCCAACCCCTCTTGCACAGTTGTTTCTTGCAAGGAACTACCACCAACCACTGCATCCTCTGCTACCACATGTTTGACAGACTATTCTTCATTGCATTTGGGTCTTTTCATTACAGGGGAAGATGAAGCAAGCAGAGCTGGTTCCATTATCTCACGCACAAGGAAGAGCAGGAAAGGGACCCACAGGGAGTCCCTTAAAGGCCAGATGGTTGGAGCTGGGGCATCAGGGGGATAGGGCTCATGGCACTGGCAGCACACAGTCAAGATTTCCAGGTCCTGGCCTGTGGCCAGTGCTTGGAGAAAGAGGTTCTGTCACCAGCACAAAGAAGAACTTTGCTGGCAGAAGGGAACGAGCAAAAGTTCATGAGGACTTGGCTTTTCCATTGAGAAACAGAAAGAACAAGGGGGAGATTTCCTGGAAATGAACTGGCTGCTGAAATAATCCCTTCAGAGGAATTCCACCTCCCTCCTTTGCCCTGCCCTGAGCTGAAGGGCTGCAGAGGGGGAACATCCCCAGGAGCTGCAGTCTCTGTACCTGCTCTGTGCGCGGTGGGAATGCCCTGCTCCAGGATGCAAACCAGCTCCAAATCTGGCCTAACGTTTGGGTTCTTCGCCTTGTTTTCCAGCACATCAGGAGCGCTCCATGCACACGGTGTCTCTGCTGATAAACCTGAACCAGAGCATGTTGGCTGTGCTGCAGGGTGCATCCATCAACCCAGCACAGAGGATGAGGCAGCTTTGTGCTGTGGATACTGCACCTTCCTGGAGGTAACTCATGCACTAACTTGGTCTTATTAGCAGGGAGATTCTTATTTATCAGAGCTAATAATGTCCTCTTTATGCAGCAAGCACACAAAGGGCCATTCACCACCAGCTGCTTTCAGGGCTGGTCCTCAAGCATCATCCCCAAACAGGCATCCCAGAGTGACAGCAAAGAGCAGCCTTTGCCTTTAAGGTTAGATAAGGGAAATCAGTGCCAGGCAGTAGTGCTTGAGTTTGGAGAGCAAGGCAAACGTGTGCTCAAGGTTTGGGAGCTCAGGGACAGGATTTCACCCTGCAAGGGTCTGGGGAGCAAAGGGGTGTTTGCAGAATGTCTGGGCAGGAATGACAGGGCTTTCCAGGTCTCCTCATCCTCTCACAGTGATAAAGAGATGAATGTTGTCGAGTTCAAATGCTAGTTAAGCAACTCCCCCTAAGTGCAAGTAAACCACATCAACAACGTGGTATTTCTGAGAATTTCAAGGAACTTCACAAAAAGCAGTGATGCAAGGTGCAAAAGAGCTGACACTAACCCCTGTGAAGAAGGAGGAGGAGGAGGCGGGTAAAGCTGAGCAGTGTTAAGCAAAGGGCTGGTTTTCTATAGGAAGCCCACAGCAGATGGCCTACAAGGTGGTGTCCTGCCTGCAGACAGCCTGCAGAGTAAAGGCAATGTACCCCAGCCCTGTGCAGCTCATCACAGCTGTATCCTCCTATTCACAGCAGCAGTGCCGTGGCTATGTGTGCTTGTTCCCAGGCAGGCACCTCTAGATCTTGGATTTCAACTGAACAAAACCCATCCTTTTTTCACAGCAACCTGCATGGAGGGGAAAATAGGCTGACAGCATCAAACAAAGTTATTTGTGTGTGCTCTGGAAGGAAAGGCACCATGAACACGGTCTCTCCCATGCCATGAAGGGGTTGAGCATCTCCAACCAGGGAGGTGAGAGGCTTTATCAACAGTGAGCCCAGCTCATTCCTGTGCAACACAACTGGCCATACGTGGCTGTCCCAGAGCAGAGCCAGATGTTCTTCAAGCAGAAGAAGTGAGGCAAGGCAGATGTTGGCAACCTCGACAGCGCAGGAGTCCAATTCCCTTTTTCCATTTGCTTGAGACAAAAGAGGAAATCAGGGTTGGATTACATCTGCATGTGGAGGGGGGTGAGCAGGATGGATCAGGCCCTCAGCTAACGCAAACCAGTGTATGCGCCCGTTTGCAGCATGTGGGTACCAGGATGTCACAAGCAGCATCTCTCAGAGTATTTAACTTTTAAGGTGTAATTCAGCTTGAATTACTACTCGTGAAAAGCTGGGAACTCCCTCTTGCATTGGTTCTCCCTAATTCTACTGAGCCCCTCAAACCCCTTTGGAGCTCAAACTATTCTCTTTAGCAGCAGATGGATAAAATATCAGGCCGAAGACTATGTGTGGCTCTGGCAGCAGCCAAACCCAACAACATATTTACTTCAAAGCAGGCAGAAGGATAGCTTGTCCAGCTGGAAAAAGCAGGAAGCGTGTTTTTAAAGGAGCAGAAGAAGGGGACAGACAAGGAGATGATTGTGTAAGTCCTGGTGTTTCAATTAGGTCATGCCTGAATGATAACAGGAGTTCATGAACTTATGTTCTGGACAGAATGGAGGTGTTCGGTTTGTCCCTGTGCATCCTTATCCCAGAGCAGACATCAGATGGTGTTTTATGGACAGGTAAGGAAGGACATGGTTTAGTGTGAGGTATCCTGCCCATGGCAAGGGGGGTGGTACTGGATGATCTTAAGGTCCTTTCCAACCCTAACTATTCTATGATTCTATGATATAGGCTGTGCAGCAGAGGAGATAGAAACACACATAGGTGTCTGTGGTCATGGTGGATGCCACCAGCATGAGCACTGAATACAGCCCTCCTGCAGGGGCTTTTCAGAATGAATTTGACAGTATCAGAAGTCATCTAGTCCAGTAATTGATGCCCCCGGCGAGGTCCTGGGTTGGGTCAGAGATGGGTGGTGGATATCAGTGGGAGCCCAGATGCCAAAGGCAAATCCTTCCATGGATTTAGGCTAAGCTGGTGCAGGTCTTCCTGCGTCATCGTGGCAGCAAAATACCATGGGTTTGCAGAAAGAACTGTCACTGCCATCCACATTATCTCTCCCAGGTAAATGGATGCAGCTATAGGAACCTGTAATGCCTATAAGTAAATAATCATCTCTCTTGCAGGTGGCCACACCAGCCTGGCCCTAACTTCAAGTAGCTTCTTACCTTGCAGCAGCCTTCATGCTCTATGTCCCAAATGAGAGCGAGGAGCCAGCCCAGCCATCAACTCCTCCAACCTCAAAACACACCAAGATCATCTAAGACATCCTCCTTCTCATCCAGGTATGTGAACAGAGCTATTTTCACACAGGTTGGATGGGGCTTGGAGCAAGCTGCTCTAGTAGAAGATGTCCCTGCCCATGGCAGGGGTTGGAACTGGGTGAGCTTTAAGGTCCCTTCCAACCCAAACCATTCTATGAGTTCTATTCATCCATTAGTTTATGATTCTGACTTTAAAGCAAGTGCTGTGGGATTCAAGGTTTTGAGGCAGTGCTTGGCCTCACCTTAGCCAGTTGAGGACATCTACTTGCTGGCACAGGCCACCGCTTCCTCCACCCACAGATCATGGTTTTCTTTGGCCTCATGTTGAGAAATCCTTTCACGTTCTAAACACAAATCCTCCAAAGGCTTTCAGGATGCGGAGCAGGAAAAACAAAAATAAATAAGATTTATTTCTTTCTTTTTTTGCTTTAATTTGAAAAATAACTGGCCTTGAAACTGCAATGGTTTTTCTCCTCTCAGGCTAGGAGAGAAAGCTTCTGCCAACATCATGTCACAGAGCTACACCGCATTGCACGTGGGGAGTTGTGATTGCAGCTCACAAGGGACTGAAAAGCGAGAAATGGGCTCCGATGAGTGAATGATTGCACAATATCTTCTACATCCCATTTCCTGCATTTGCAGAACATCTATGTCCTAGCCTGGGCTTTTTACTGATAGTAAAAGGCTATGGCAGTGACAGGGACAACTCTTCCAGGCCCGGATTGGAGGGCATGGCATGGAACTGCATCCATAAGGATGCTGTGAAAGATAAAAGCTGATCTGGCTTGAAAAAGCATCTGGGCAAGACAAAGCCCCCCATGAGGAGCTGCTGGGGAGGGAGCAGAAGCCACTTGGCTGTTCCTTCTGCATCCAAAGGACCCCAAGAACCCAAAAGAGGTGCTTGGTCCTTGTTCCCTTGGATCTCATTAAGTATGTGTTAACTTGTGACATGCAAACCCAATAAGGGAAAATTGGGAGAGCAGGAAGCCTTTTCTGGGAAGAAATCAGCTTTTCTTGGGTTTCAAAGTGGGCATGGGTGTATGGTGTATGGTTTACAGTGATAGCAATGCACTGTAAAACCATCTGCACAAGTAAAGTACAGACAATAGCGTTCTTGAAATGCAGTGTTTGTAGCAGAAGCGCTGTAGGTCAGTGTCTTGCTGCAAGCAAATCCTCCATCTGGTCTGTAATGGCTGATCCCTTCCTTCCACATCCCCTGTTCTTTGCTGGAAAGGGAAAATTGCTGATATTCAGCAAAAAACTACAGCTGGAAATGGCAAACCGGTATCATCTCAGCCACCAATGCACAATGAGAGAGCCTACAAGGGAATATGGGCTAAATACATCCTGTGGGGAACATGCATTGGATCCTATCTAGGGATGAGCACATGGAGCTCTGGAGGTTGGGGCTTGGGGAGCAGGACTTGTCCTTGCACAGCCACTGAGACCTCCAGCCACACACTGCTCCTGGTATGGTTTTTCCAGGGAAAACCTCTATTAATAGCAGCTTATGTCATTATAATGATTGAATGATATTTACATCATTAAATTTTAATTATAAATAGAAATTTATATATTTCATGTATTTCTCTATATAATTATATATCCATACATGTTTATACTTAATATCTATCTTTAAATATTCACATTTATAAATATAAATTATGTTTTAAAATATATAAATTCTAATAACGTATAAAATATAATATAAAATGTAGAAGATATAATAAAATTATAATTATGTTATATATTAATTTTGATTACATTATAAATACATTTAAAATTTTATTTATAATTATGTATTTATATTATTTATATTTTACTTTATGTATAATATTTATTTATCTACATTTCTATATAAATATATTAATATATCTATATTTAAAAATACTAATGTATACTAATGTAAGATGTTGTCTAACATAAATATATTAATATATAATATGTATACATATTATTATAAAATATGTTTAATTATAACACTAGATAAATACATATTATATAATATATAAACATATTAAAGGTATATGTATGTTTAGATATACATATATTGTTATATTAAATATTTATATATTTTTATATTCCATATAGTATATATGTTCATTAATATACATTATTTTTATTTATATTCTTGAGTCTCTATAGAGATATACATCTATATAAATATATGTATATTTATATGTATTTTTACAGATATATACATATATTATACATAGATATTTAGAAATATATGTATATTTTATATATAAAAATCTTTATATATCTCTGTATTTATAAATATGTATTAATAAATATATATTTAATAGAGATTAAGTAATATAGATTATATACAGATATATTTTTATATATTTATGTATAAATTGATAAATATATTTGTATTTAAATATAACATAGTTATTTAAATATACATAGCTATATATATGTTTATATACGTATGTGTACCTATACATGTATACATAAATATGTATGTATATGCATGTGTATATATATACACATATGTATACATATACATGTAAAACTATACATAAATATAATTTACATATATTTATTTATATTTACATATATTTGTATGGATATATTAGTATATATAAATTAAACATAAGTATACATAAATGAAATAATGTAATTTTATATATTTAAATATTAATTTACATGAATATGTTTGTATATAAACATATAAAAGCACATAAATATTTCTATATTTATATAGAAAAATGTTTTATGCATCTTTATATGTACTGTGAATATGTTTTTATATAGAAATAAATATATGTAAATATATTTAAAATATGTTTTATACAGATAACTATATTTCTATTTATGTATTTTTATATATATGCATACATAAATGTTAATATAGGTAATATATATATTTATTATATTTGCATATCTTTATTTATATACGTATACCTGTAATTTGTATAGATAATTTATATAGTATATATACATAAACATATTCATATGTAGAAATATATAAAATAAATATATAATAATATTGAAACATATAGTAATAAATAAAATAGACATATATAAAGTTATATAATTAAATATAACTATATTTATGTAAATCTATTTATGTTTACATTTATTAATTTATATAGAATCTATTTTCATATATTTATATATTATGTATTCATATTTATAGAAAAGTATATAAAATATAATTATTATATATAGCAATATTTAAATCCATAATTATTTTTGTCTATGAATACAAATTTATATATATTTATAGAAATAAAAATATATGTTTATAGAAAAATTATGACATCCATCTATTATAAAAATATGTATTTAGAAATAAAATTTCAAATGTAAATATCATTTATAGTTAGAATTAACCTATGTGATATATTTTATTGTGTTTTAGTTAAATTTTTAAGTTTTATAATTTATATATTTCTGGGTAAACTTCATTTATGCCTGACAGCATATAAACGATTTATAGCTTGTACCATTGATAGTAATAGAAGCTATTAATGTATCATTAATAGAACAGAAGCTATGAATGAAGCTTCCTTAAAGCCCGTACTGACTGATGGGGTGTTGGAGCAGTGAATGAGGGCACCAGGCAGAGGAACAGGAGTCAGTGAGGCTCCACTCGTGCAGAACGGCCATGGGGACACAGGACAGTGGCTGCCCTGACTTCTGCACGCTCCCGAAGAGTGGAATGCGCTCATTCTTTCCTTCTCCCCAGACAAGCGTGGGGTTTGTGCCTTTGTTTTCCTCCCCTCCCATGTACCAGGGTTTTGCACAACGCGTTTCCGAGAACGATGATCGGGACTTTTCTGCCCGTTCCTGGAACCGCCCTGCTACTGAATCACTGCGGGTCGCCTCCGGGTGCGGGTGCGGAGCCGCGGCGGTCCCCGCAGCATCTCCATTCGTGCTGCGCCACCTCCTGGCGCAACCTGGGGAGGTTGGAAGTGGATCTCAGTCCTTTCCAACCCAAACTATTCTATGGTACGTCCGGTTTTCTGTGCAATGTATCCATCCAAGGGAAGGTCCATTCCCAAGCCTTCCAGGTTCTGCTTCTCTGTGCTGAAGGTGGCACCTCTGCCTCCCATACAAGCCAGAGCCTTGCTCTACAGCTCCTCTGCAGTCCAATGGCTTTGGCCGGACACCAAGGATGTGCAGATGGAAGGAGGTCAAAAAGGGGGACCACAGATGCTGTAACAACAGGAATGCAGCGGCCACCATCACCAGGGATGCTTACATCCCCAATGTGCCTGTAATGAACCTTTCTGAAGAAGCTGTGTTTGCTCAGTATGTGCACAGACCCTACCAGTGTGGCCATATCTGGTTCCAGTTTGGGCGCAGATGGAGATCCAGGAATCCTGTTGCCAGGGAGATGTCTCAGTACCCATACAACTTGATCCTGATAGAAACAGAGAAGTGGACAGGTATTATTCTAATATGTTCCTCTCTTCCAGATCAGATCCATGTGCCAGCTTTGCTCCAATACACATATAATTACAAGGTATCCCAACCCTTTCCACTGCACTTTGGGATTGCAGCTATCTGCTGTCTCTAATCCCTGCTCAGGGAGTGAGTGTTCTGGTCATTTGTGCATTAATGCTGCCAAATCACGCTCATGTTTCACAGTCATAAAACTCCACTGGGTCCCATGCTGACTTCAGCAGTCTCTAGGTTGGATTGCGAGACCCAGGCAAGGACACTGGTCCACCAGCTGGCATGCCATTCAGTCTGCAGCCTCAGCGCGCAGGGAGACCGTCATCGATGAGTGGGATGAGGAGTTTGATAGAGGCAAGGTGGGTGCGATGGGCTGGTGGGAAGAACCTTGGGCTATGGTGTGCTGACCCCAAGAGCCTTCCTGCCTCTGCACAGGTGAAGAAGGTTAAAAAGCGGAGGAGGGGGCAGAGGCACCAGAACCCCTTCCAGTGGCTGCACCACCAGCGCAGTGATGCATGCGGCCAAGGCAGCGAGCCTGCGCCACCGGCTCTGAGGTGCGCAGCTCCAGGGGCCCAGAGCAGAGCTGCAGGATGGGTGCTCCCACGGCTCCTTTCCTTCCAGCCCGAATGCCAGCGAGCGGGAGGAGCAGCCCCACATCTCCACACTCGATGTCCCTGCCTTCTGCTGGGAAGGAGCTCAGGAGGACTGTGCCTTGTCCGGGCTCCCTCAGCAGCTTCCCTGCGCCTGGGGCTGGAGCAGCCCCTTTCTCCCACCCAGGCCTGGAGCCCGGCTCGGGGGGGCTCCTGCCAAGTGCCTCAGGACCATCGCTGCTGCTCCAGCCCCAGCCCCATGACCCCGGCTGCGGTCCGCACCTGGAGCTGCTCCTCCCACTCCTGCCCCCCCTTTCCCTCCTCACCACGTTGGAGTCACCGTTAACACCATCGCTGGGCTCAGTGGCTCTGGCAAGGGCCATGTGGCTGTCAGGATGAACCTCCTCTGCTCCCTCCTGCCACTTCTCCACGGAGATGCTGTTCCTGTGTCCAGCTCCTTTGTCCCAGCCATAGCAGCATCCCTGTGCTTTGCATCCAAACAAGTGTTTTGGGACACTTGTGTCCATGGTGGGTGTAGCCAGGGCTAAGATGGCTCCAGCGGGATCTGCTGGCTTTGTGGGGGCTGAGCTGGACATCCCAAACAGCCCCAGCCTGCGTGAGGGCAGAAGGCTGCGTACAGGCAGCAGATGCTGTTGATGTGTGGCTCTGAAAGGGAATGTGATAGGCATTGCTCCAACCTGTATTGTACTGCCCCATCTCCTGTACTGCTTTGACCTGTACTCTGTTTGTCCCCAACCTCCTGACATCTTCTCCTCTGCCACAGGTGACCCAGGCAGCTTCTGCATGATATGTATCATGCAGAGCCACGTGGCTCAGGCTTTTGCAAACAGTGGGAGCGTGATAGAGCCAACGGCCTTTGTCCGAGACCTCAAGGGTAAGAATGACTCCAGTGTCCTTCCCCTCCTCCCATAGCCATGCTGGAGAGCAGGGAGTAATGTGTGAGCAGAACCTTTGAGAGGAGGCCAGGAGAACTCACGGAGCCTGCAGGGACCTGGTGACCTCATGGGCTGTGTGTGGGGTTCCCAGTGGCCGACACGAGTCTGCCATCCGCTTCGGTTTGAGGGGGCTCAACCCCAGGGGCCATGGAGGGAGGTGGGGTCTGTGTCTCACAGCACGTGCTGGGACTGATTCCTCCCTGTCCTGCAGAGATCGCTGGGCACATGCGCTTCGGTCAGCAGGAGGATGCGCATGAATTCCTGCGTTACACCATCGACGCTATGCAGCAGTCCTGCCTGAGTGGCTGCACCAGGTACGTGGGGCCTCTCTCTGATGGGCTGTCCCTGCTCTCCTCCGCTGGTCCCTGCCTTGCTGGAGGGGACTGTGGGGTCAGTCGGTTCCCCAGGCGGCACTCGTGTTCCTGGGCCCTTGCCCCGGGAAGCTGCGTTGCCCCTGCAGTGCCCAGCTCTGAGCTCCAGCCAGGAGTTTGTGCTGAGGACACCGGGGTGGCTGTGGGGCGGCCATGGTGCAGGAACGGTGTGAGACCCGGGGCTGCTGTCTCTAGGTTGGATTGCGAGAGCCAGGCGATGACATTGGTCCACCAGATCCTTGGCGGCTACCTGTGATCCCGTGGTGTCAGAGCGCTCAGAGCGTTTGCATCAAATCTGGCATCCTGCCTGTAGCTGAGATAGTGAGGGGATGTATTAGAGGGAAAACTCCCTCCAGCCTCTCCCAGAAGTGCAGGTATGGGGCCTGGTGCTATTTGGAATAGGAAATAAGGTCGGTGGAACCAGTACTGGCTGCAGATGTCCAGTACCCATGAAACAGGAGCCAGCTTCAGCCTGACTCAAGCAAAGAAGAGGGCATGCTCCTGCATGCAGCAGGCCGAGAGCTAGTCTTGGGCTACAGCACATCAATCTAAACCTAAACGCTTCTGCAATGTGGGGAACCCCCAGCTGGCTCAGCCAAAAGGATGCATCAGTCCTCAGCATCACGTGTGGGAGCTGGGCAGCACAAAACCAACCAAGAAGTACATTTTCTGCCATCAACACTGATGTTCCAGTAACCGTAACGTCATCTGAACCATGAAGCACTCGGGAAATGTTTGTTTTACAAAGTCAGGGAAGAGCTGCTACAAAAGCAATCCCAGTTTCCAAAGAGGAAATATTCCCTGGCAACAAGCTAAAAACCCCACTGTGTATCCAAAGGAAAGAGCCCTGGGAAATGCCCTTTCCCACGCACAGTGGCAGGGCTGCTGGGACTAGAATAGATTGATAGAATCACAGACTGGTTTAAACTAGAAAGGACCTTAAGATCATCCAGTTCCAACGGGGCATCTTCCATAGACCAGGCTGCTCAAGGCCCTGAGATGAAGAGTGGCAGAGGGGGAGAGCCATGGTACTGGACAAGAGCACAGGGGCTATGATGGCTGCAGCCGCTTGAGCCAAGTTCCTCGCTGCTGTGCTCATGTATAGATAGGAAAGCAGTCAGTTATTATTAGAGCTTGTTGAGTGGCTCTGGAGGAGCTACAGAAAACCCTTCCAAATGAGCTGCTCTGCAGTGCAAGCAAAGCTCCTGCGGTCATGTCTAGGGGAGAGCATCACAAAGGGCAACTTGAATCTTGGAGACAGTCTTGGTCTGCCCTCACCCCTCTATGAGCACCCGTGTTTCCCATTCCTAAGATGACAAGGCATGGAATCAACAAAGAAACTTACCCTGGGTCTTTTATCTTCAGCACTTTCCAGGATCTTGGAGGACACAACCAGCTCCTGCACTGTCACAGCATCCTGATGCACATGAGGAAGCTGTTTCCCATGCAGGCAGGTAGCAAAAAGGGACCTTCATGTCACACCTCCAAGCTGCCCCTAGGACTCCATGGATGGGCACAGAAAGAGGAAGATGTACACACGGAAAACCCAGAAGGCGGGTCAGCCTCCTGGCTCCTGCAGAAGAAATACCATCAAGTACGTTAGGGTGGGTTTGGTCCCATGTTGTCCTTGTGTCCCACCCCTGCCACCCTCCTCCAAACCTGCCCTAGAGAGCAGCACCTCAGCCATGAGATGACTCTTGGTCCTTCCTCCTGAAGTCATGCAGGATGAGATCTTTCAATAGCATTTAGCTCCTGGAAGATGCCCACATCATGGGCTAACTTATGTCTAAGCTGCTTTGTACCCTCTAATGGCAGAGGTGCTGCGCTGTAACCTTATCTTTCTTGCCTGTCTGTTAGAAACCACATTTTCTACCCTAAATCTACAAAACAGCACCTAGGAATGCACGGAGCTCCAGGACTGAAAGCATCCCGTTAGTGACTGGTCCTTTACAGAGCCAGCAGGGTCGGAGGAAAAGAAAACCACCACATACATGATCAATGTGTATTAAAATGGGATTTGAAAGCAAAGCATGGAAAGCCTTGATCTGGTTTTAATTCCAAATGAACAAATACAGCTATTAATACATGGCAATGCTATTTTGCTGTGATAACAAAGCAGATGACACCAGCAAGCTAATGAGGCTTAGGGAAAGAAAGTTTAAGAGAAAATCTCTAGGTAATCTCTACTGCATTTATCATGCTTTGGCACTCATAAAGTAAACCCAGGCTGAGCATAATGAACAGAATCAAACAGGCTTTTTCAGGTGGGTTTTTTCCCTGCTGCTTTAAAAATCACAGCAGAATATAGTCGTGGGAGAGACAAAAAGGGAAGAGTTCCTGCCCTGCCGGTGGTGCATGGGGAATCTGATTGTAAAGGCTTCTTCCTGTATGGCTGAGTAGATGTGAGACTGCGATTTGTTCATCACAAGATTTAAGCTCTCCTTGGTGACACAGAACCAATGCAAAAGCCCTCTCCTGCTCTGCCAGAGGTGCAGAGGTAACACACATCACTTGTACATCACATAACTCATGCCTAAGCTGAGAATGTGCAAAAGCCCCAGACATCACTTCACCCGGCCAAGCACTGCTCCCCGTGTCCCAGCAGGTTTGGGGTACCCACACGCATCGTATCCAGCTGAGTGCTGCCCCATAGCACTGGTTACCGCTGGGGCTTTTGGCTAAGTGGGAGGGCTGTGGACACAGAAGCAAAGCTGGTATTAAGGAATCAGTTCTCCAACAGCCCCACATGGTACCGCTGGACTCTGCTCAGGGCTTGTTTCCTCCCTCTGAGGGCAAACTGAGTCTTTGCTCTGTGCTGTGAATGTGGAAGGGGCTTTCGAGAGTACATGGATTTATCCTGGGGTTGGGTTACCAGAAATCATTAACTCCAAGAGTCTAATAAAACCATTTTAAAATACACGTGTGGTATTTAAGGGACCTCGGGAGAAAGCAGGCATGAATTGCTCTTCTCCAGCACGGCTCCAGGTGGAGCACCTCAAAAGGCAGAGCAGTTCTTGAGAGCAATGAGCAGGGATGCTGTGATGAAGGGGTGCTCTTGGGGAGCTCAGTGAGCCTGTAAAGGCTGTTAAAGCTGCTCTGACACTACCAACAGCAAGATGCAGGGAACATCCTGACCTGGCTACACAAAGTGATTTCAGTGGGGACCACTGGGGACCTCAGGTGTTTGGAGAACATCATTGACGTGTGAAGACACAAACCTCACCCAGTCTCACATCCCAGCCCAGCATCCCATCCATTTCAGGATACATCCCAAGAGGATCAAGTCCTAGAGTACAAGTTTTCCTGGCTCATTTGCAGCCTGTTCTCCCTGAAACAGGAGCTCCCAGCCCTGCAGTCAGCAGCTTTTCCCAACCCAACACCAGGGGCTGTCATTTAGCTGAGGAAAGCATCTCCTGAGGAGGAAGAAGGAACGCTGCAATTCAAGGCAGGCAACACATTCCTCACCAATACATTCCTCACCAAGACCCCACTGGCAGGTGCTAAACACAGGCATGCTCCACTTAATACCCTGCGCCACTTGAAGCATGTGTGAGATGCAGCAAAGAGAAGGCTTTATCCCTTGCTATTAAATATAGGAGCAGTGAGATGGGGTTAGCTGGGGAACAAAACCAAGCACAGCAAACAAAGCACACCAACGGGATGAGCACAGGGTGCTCTGGCATAGGACATGCCACCAGCCACCTAGGCATCAGCAGAGGGTGATTATCCCTGCAAACCAGCACCAGGAACTCAGGCTGGGGGTGGAAAACGTATTGGGAAAGAGAAGAGGAGGAGAAACAGGTTCGGGGTGGGACTGAGATGCATTCCGAGACAGCCACACCTGGGGGCGGCTGCTGGCAGCCTCCTGCTGTGGTGGCAGCCTGGTTCGGTAGGGAATTTTACATCCCCGTGATCACAGACACAACGTGGGAAGTGCAGCAATGGGGGAACTGGTTCAGTGCTCAGCCTTGCAGCAAATGAGGTAAAGCCCTGCCGCTGCCAACAGGCATAGGATCTAATGATTGCTGCTGGTTGAAGACGATGCTAACAACAGGAGGAGTTGTGCTTTATAACATACAGGGTGGGAAGGTGGACAAAATCCTGTACAAGTTCCACATAAGATCTCATAGCAATGAATCCCACTGCAAGAGCGTGTGTTCCTGTGCATCCCCAAGCACCTGGGAAGAGCACAGTGAATGTGCTGTGATTTTGGATGCTGCCTTTCAGGGTCCTTTAATTCTGAGGTACAGCACTTCTGTCCCAGGGACCCCCTTCCCCTCACTGATTTCACTACTAGGCCCCTGAGATCTGCAAAACAGACATAATAATGTCCTCTCCATTGCCTATTGTGCTGAGTAGCCTGAGCTTTTCATCCTATGGATGCAGACACCAAGAAGCCCTTGGGTTGGGGACTGCTACACTTTGCATGGCTCTTCATTAGGGACTGTAGTGATAGGACAAGGGGTAATGGGTTAAAACTTAAACAGGGGAAGTTTAGATTGGATATAAGGAGGAAATTCTTTCCTGTTAGGGTGCTGATGCACTGGAATGGGTTGCCCAGGGAGGTTGTGAATGCTCCATCCCTGGCAGTGTTCAAGGCCAGGTTGGACGAGGCCTTGGGTGATATGGTTTAGAGCAAGGTGTCCCTGCCCATGGCAAGGGGGTTGGAACTTGATCATCTTAAGGTCCTTTCCAACCCTAACTATTCTATGATTCTTTCTGAGGGTGGGACATTGAAGCAGAACGTGATGGTGTGGCTTACCTGTGGTCGGGCAGGAGGTCCCTGTAAAGCTGGCCAGTCAACCTGCTCCTCCATGGTCACCCAGTCCTTCCCTGGGACACTCCTCGTTGTTTACGGTTCATCACACACCACTCATGAATGCTCCTGCTGCATCCACTCAACAGCCCAAGCAGGCAGAACCTGCAGAGATGTGATCTCTGCCAGCACGACCTGATTGAAACATATAAAATATAAACAGAGATATAAAGCTGCCAGTCACGCAGGGAATCAAATTAAATCAGTTCAGCTCAGCCTCCCCCATCCTTCCTTACTGCTCAGGCAATAAAACCACTCGCTATACAAATATTTCAGCTGTAGAGGAAAGCAAGCCATTGAGCTAACCAACAGGTTGTTTATAGCAGTAAGAGAGCTCTGCCCAGTGCCAGGGTGTTGTGGGGCACCAGCTCTCTCATATCAGTATCTGCTATTTATATAGCACTATATCAAACAAATAGTTCTCCACCAAGGGGTAGGCACAGGTGTACACCATGACCTTGCTTGGAGCTGTGGTGGCTCCATGCAACAGCACAAAGTCTTCTCCTTCCCGTCCAGTGGATGCTAGCCCAGAGTTAAGGGAGGTTCCTCACAGCCATCCACACCATCCTTCTTCCCTACTTACACACTCGGTAGCCAAATCCACCTTGTAAAAATGATGAGGGCCCAGGGCACCTGCAAAGAGCTAATGTCCAAAACATCCATTATGACCCTGTTTAATGAGTGTTTCTGCCCTAGGTAATGCCCAGTGATTGGAATATGTTCTGCTACAGTAATGCTTGCAACACAACAGCCCACCGAGGAGGGAGCTTTCCTCTGGAACCACAGTTTCAGCCAAGCTCATCTGCATTAATCTTACACCCATTAAAATCAGTTGTTCTGTTTCTAATTCAGCCAGCGCTGCCGAGCTCAGGAATTAAACATTCATGAGCCCATGTCCCTGGGAAAGAAAAAAAGAGCCCATAAGTTCATCTGGAGCAGCATGGATTTTTAATACAACCATAAACCCATCTCGCTGCTCCTTTGTGCTTGAAGCTTTCAGCATCCTGATGAGGCATGGGGAAATGAATAAAAGCTGAGGTTTCTACACAATTGTGTGACTGCAAAGGCTGGTGCTTCCTGGAGGCATCCTCACAAATTGCATCAATTTCATTTTACAATGGAAACCAAAGACATAGCAACACAGGAGGGACAAGCTCATTTGGTTCCCCTTATCCTGCCTCGAAACAAGTGCTGCTGCTGAAACAACAGACAGTCTACCCTGCACACCACAGGGCAAGTTGTCCACTGGGTTATACTGCAGTGAGGGCAGGAGCCTGGAAATGCCACCAGCAAGAATCATCCATCCTTGGTCTGGATAAGCACATAGAGCTCTCAGCATCCCCCAGTCCCTCTGGAGCTGTAAGAGCAGCATCAGACCCATAACAGAGACAACGACCTAGCGTAGACCCAGCGAGCAATGGACAGGGCTGTGGGAAAAGCCAAGGCACCACATCACACCAAGGTCATGCTTTGGTTGGCCTCCAGCACCCCCTGCAGTGCTCATACCACCTCAGTGCCCATCAGTCCCTTTGTCCAGCTTCCCAGCACCCATCCGGTTATCTCTGCCTTTGAAGGCTACATGGACCATGAGGACTTACATCTCCAGTGAGCAGCCAGATGCTCCCATGGCTGCAGGGGGAACACACAAGTTAATGAAGTCAGTAATTACTTTTAAATTCTATATCTGTATGTGTAACGAGGTGTGATTTTTACTATACTCCTAATTAAGGCCACCAGTGATAATAGCTGGAGACAAAGCCAATAAACACCATCTATTTGAAGCAGATGGGGAGTCAGAAAGGGCTCTCCAGCATGTTTTCTCAATAGCCAAAACTAAACAACTTCTCAGAGCATGCCAGAGCCCTCCCAGCCCATGAAAACACCCAAACAAGCTTTGCTGGCCCAGGCTGGATGATGAGGCTGTGCTGCCTCGGTCTCTTTCCACAAAAGCTGCTGTTTTCCCTTGGAAAAAGGCACCGTGTTTACAAAGTAAAGCTCAAGTAGGAAAACATCAACCCAGGCCAGTGCAAAACCAGCCCTGGGAAAAGGTCAGGATTAACTCCTCTGGATGGCTTCCTGAAGGAGCATAAATAAAGACAGGTTGTCAGTGAGCGCTAGAGAGTGTTGCTGCAGTTATTTATAGAAGGCATTCATTTCCTTTAGGATCTGGATAAATATCCATTAGCTTTCAAGGTGATGAATCAAGCATTAATTAACCTGCTGGGGGAAAAAATAGAATACAGATATTAATGTTTTAAAAGGAAGCTTCCAGCTGAGGGGGGAAAAAAGGAAGAGAGCTAATGTGAACTTTTCAAACAGCACCTCATTGTATTGGCAAGGAGCAATGGGCAGGGAACAGACCTGCTGGATGCACTGACTGGGAACGTCAGGCTCTGCTTTGGTCACAGGGAAATAAAAACCTGTGATCTTGGCACCTCTGCAGAGCTTCAGGGTAGAGAAGAGCTTGGAGTCAAAATGCAGTGGGTGTTTTATACCTGACGGCAACAGCATTCACCCCTCTTATGCCACTGGGTATCAGAGCCAGCACAGAGCTGCTCCCCAGGAGACCATCACAGACATCCTGGCAGGGTGGGAATAGTCATTTCTCCTTCATACACTGATGTAACAACTGTTTTTTCCTTCAAGCTCCCTCTAAATGTTCAAACTACAGAACAGGGCCCTGCTTTTAGTGCGAGCAATAAACACCCATAGCAGCCATCAGGAAATCAGCAGAACCAGAACATGCTCTGGCTATTACACACTCACACAAATGGGAGGAGACCGTGGCTCTTTCATTCCCCACCTTCCCTCTGTCCTGCTCAGGGACCAGCTGAGCTAACTCTTCAGCTTTTGGATGTCCCAAAAAGCAGCAGCATCCCATGGAGACCAATAGGGCTCAGCATCAGCATGAGTAACATGGGGAAAAGAGAAATACTGCACAAAGAAGATTGTTTTCCAAGCAAAAATGCCAGAATGAGATGTGACACCAAATTGGATAGCAAAACCAAACCCATTTCCTGGTGGCACCAATACAAGACCTTGCAGGACCTCTGTACCATCCATACCATCACGCTCCTGGGTGCATTGGCCTGGGATGGTTTGGCTACATACCTCCTCCTCCTCTCTGCAGAGCAAGGCAGCTTCCAAGTGACATAAATCAGAAGCCTGGACTGATTATTTTGCAACCTGAGACACAGCTCTCCCATAGCTGAGGAAGCACGATGCTTAATGGAGCACAAAAGATCCTGTGTTAGATGTAGTCTTCAGGATGGACTTCCTTTGCCATGCCTGCACTCCACCCCCACGTACCCAAATCTTTAACAACTTCAAGCTTTTTTCTTTATAATTTAAGAAAAAAAAACCATAGCATATGCAGGCAGCCTGTATTTAGCTCTTTTTCCCCCCCTCTTCTGCATATTCCCCAGCTCTACCCACACATACCCACACTGCAGACAAACTATCCTAAAAACACTGAGAGAGCTCTAAAAACACAACAGTAATCCAGGGCGTCATCAACTTCCAGGAGTGCCAACTGCCCTAAGAAACCACAACTCCTTTGTTGTTGTTTTCTGTATGGGGTTGGGTTTTTTTTTAGGCTTTTACAATCTTGTATTTTACCGAATGGCCCAAATTCGCTCCTTCTCTCTGCTCGGTCCCATCTCTCCCCAGCTATATTCAGAAAGCATTTCTCGCCAGCCTTGTTTAGCTCACATTTCAGGGCAGAGCAAATGTTTGTGCAGGAGGGGGCAGGGATGATGAGTCAATTAATAGAACCTAATAGAAGCTGGTTTTTAAAGTGCCTGTTCTGACTGTGAGCAGCACCAGTCACACAAACCCAGTGCCACCAGCTTGGTCCAGTGCCTCCTTGCATACACAGAATGGTTTCCTACAGTGAAACTGCTCTCATCCTGCATGAAATGTGGTACACGATGAGGCATCTGCCACTTAGTGTTAAAGACACCATCACAGCCTAATAAATCACATTGCCAGAAGGGCTTTCATGCTATCACCAGTGCTCTTCTCATTACATGGCCTTCCTTCTCCGTATGCTCCTGCTCATCACTATGCCTTGCAGACCTCACATATTTCAGCTGAGGAACTCATCCCCAGAATACACAGCCCAGCTAAGCTCTCCGAACCCAGGTCTCAGTCACCTCTTCTGTTGTTCCTATCACTCCAGCCACAACTTTGTGTCCACAAAGGAAAGCCCTAGAGATGCACCATTTGTCATTCAGATGCCATTTATTACACTGACAGCACCTACCTCTGCCTTTTTCCAGGCATGCACTAAATTGGAGGGGGTGGATGTGAGAGATGGTGCCTATTCATTCTCCTTGCAGATGGTCAAGCCACAGAGCACCCAAGCAAAGCCACATTCTTCCTTTTAACTTTGGCCAAGACCCAAACCACCCACTGGTGGAGTCAATGTTGGACTTGCACGTTCTCTCATAGAGCAAACATCCTGGCAACACATCTAAATGCATTCATTTCCCATGTATGCAGTGCAATTTGAGATACCCGAGTATAACAGGTTAGATTTTGATTTCATGGGACTGGTCAGGTTTAGACAAGAAAATGGAACAAAACATCCTGATCTCTGGCACATTAGAGCAGCAGTAATTTCAAGCAGAACACAATACTGCAAAATTGACACTAGTAAAAACTAAATCCATATTAAGAAGAACTGAATTTGGAAAACATCACTGTGAAAATAGTCATTTCATAACCAAAACCCTGCAGGATCCAACCAAGCTGGATGGGTGTCACAAAGGAGCATAAATACATTTCTAGAACTGCATCACCCCTCTATGAGGCACAGCATCCAGCCTCACTCACCAGCAACAGCTGATGCCAATGGCCAACTGAATTGGGATGAGAATAGGTCTGGTTGTAACTGAAATCACAGCAGAGTGGAAGGCTATAGGATCACAGTGTGCCTGTTTCCATTGGGAACTTCACATCCACAGTGGAGCTGGTGGTTTCTTTTGTAGGACAGACTATTCTGTTGCACCAAGAGGGCCCCTGCTGTGGCTCAACATGTCCAATTTTGTGTCTGGGTAAAGAAACTTAACTCAATATTCAATCAAACTTGCTTGGATTTTTGCTTTCCTCTTTCCTCAGTGAGCCCTGGGCACACCAGGAAGGGTGCCGACAGGAGAGGGCTCTGAGGAGGCAGCAAACCATGGCTGATGGGCTGCTCCTCCAGCCAGGAGTCAATAAGGCCCATGAGACCAGTGCCTATGCCAGCAAAACAGAGCAGGAAAAGCATCAGCTGTGATTTATCATCCAGCCCAGCCCAATGTGTGTGTCTGCCATTGGACAAGTCTGATGTCATCAGCACAGTCCAGCCCATGGGAGTGCTGGTCCAGATTATAAACCCTGGGTTTCTACCTGCTTGCTGGAGATAGCGCATCCCAGAGTAACCCAGTGCAGAGGAACAATATTGCCTTTGGGTCTGTCCCCTTCAGCCATGAAAACAAGTTAATTTTGGTGTAATTAGAGAGTGACCGATATTTGCCATTGAGCATCATAACGATGTGAGGAAAGATGTGTTTTAATTAAGTTCTGGGAGAAAAAAGCAATGTGTACCTGGCTGGACTGCAGAGAGGTGAACTCAGTACTTCACCCATGCCTCAGCCCACTGCCTGTTTTCCTCTGCAACAGAGTGACCAGCCTAAGCTGCAGACAGGGACTTCAAAAAGCAAATAATCCTTCCAAAAGAGCCAAGCCAGCACCTCATAATTCCTGTATCTCAGAACTGGGAGTCTTCACATTTCCAGTGCAACCCATGGGCAAGCGTTCAGAACCTTAGAAACCTAAGGGGAGCACTCCCCAAATCAGAGCATCCGGAGGGGACCCCACAGAGCTCCACATGGATTTTTCCCACAGCTCCTGCAGCTGCTGGAGTTTTCCATAGATTGCCCAGGTCTGATTTTCAGCTATGAAATAGCCTGGGCCTGAGCTGCCCTTTTGATCTCAGGAATGCACAGCTGTGAAAGTGAGGTCTTGGTTCCTCCGGCTGAACTCGGCTCAAGAAGTGGGGATTTGTGGCCAACCCATCAAAATCACATTGTGAACAGGTCACATTCATACTCAGGCTGCACATAATGAGTGAGGAATGGGCAGGGTGCAGGCACCCCGATGCCTTTGGGTGCATGGAGAAACAGCAAAACCCACACAGAGTTTGGACAGGGAAGTAACACAGCCAAAACCCTTAACTGCACCTAGAGAACACAAAGAAAGAGCAATCATCATCCCCCCAGAGGCAGCTGAGCATCCTTCCACATTGGAAAGCACTTTCTGCTCCTCTCAAGCACTCAGACAGATCCCCTGTGAAAGTCACTATTCCTCTAAAAGAGTCAGATTTAGCGTCTGTGGGCTTTATAAAGATTAAATAACCTGTCTGCCATTATTGCTTCTTGTATGACTACACCAGAGCAGGTAGGTCTCAATGGTAGTCAACAGTCCTAAGCATCAGGGAGGAAACCTCTATACACCCCAATGGCACTGCACAGCCAGATGCACCAAGATCCCTCCACAGCCAAACCTTCCATGTTTAATCCCCATGGAAGTCAATGGAATATATCTATGTCCTTAAAGCTAAGCACCTCTTCCAGTCTTTTACCCGAGTGTTGTTAGCAAGCCCCAGCCAAGGCAGTGCCTTCAGCCTCATTCACTGCATGGTGAGCTGGTGCTCCGGGTGGGACAGTGCTCAGCACAGCAACGGGGCTGCACCTTCACAACACCTTTATGGTTAAGTACATCCATGAGCTGGGGTCTCATGCCCTTCTCTGTGCACTTTCAGCCCTGCCCGAGATGGGACAATATGGGGCAAAAACCTTACATTTCACAAAGAGCTCACAAAATTGGGCCACATTTAGCACCTACCAGTGACATGGTCCTTACAGGCAGGGAACTGAAACAGTCCCTGCAAGACCCAAGACCCCAGCCCTCATTGATGCTGGCATGCCAAAGCTGCAGAGGTTCAGCTTCCCCCAGCATGGACACAGGCTCCCTGCCTTCCCTATCCTGCTGGGAAGAGCTTGGCTCCCAACCCAGCAGGCTGACCACAAACCCTGCCTGCATGAATGCCTTGTTAAGACACTCATTCACACTGCAGCCACGGCGCTGGCTGGAAGAACATACATCAGGCTTCTTGTCAAACAAACCCATTCCAACTGTCTGGGAGGACAGCAGAATCTGCCATCACGCTGCTTTGAAGGGTTTGCACTTCACTGCAGCACTTCAGATCTGCAGTTGTTTCCATAACCAAGTCCAAGAGAGCCTGTGAATAGAAAGGAATTAAGCACTCATGCAAAGACCATTAAAGTTAAGGGGGATCTTTCCATTGACTGGAGAGCATTTGGCTCCCAGCCCTGGATATCAGGGTCTGTTGTGCTGGATTTAGAGCAGGAAATGGGAGCAGGACTTTGCAGGTTTTCTCAGCAGTTGTTACAGAGTTCAGCACAGAAGCTCTCTGTGCCTATTCCCCTGCATGTAAATTACGAAGTGACTGCTCATCTGAGATGCAAGGCCCCAGTTGACCATCTTTCTGTTCACTGCAGGCACTTCCTCCATCATTCCTGACAGACCTAACACCACAACAAGTTGGACTATCCCATTCCTACAGGCAAAAGGATTTCTTTATGGGTCCTGCCATGCCAGTCCCCGATACATAACTCACATGTCAGCCCAAGAGGCAAAATTACCACAGACCAGAAGCTTCACCAGTCTGAAAACCTTGTTAATCCAAAACTCACATCAGGATGAAACTCCTACTGGGATCTGAGCAGCATTTCTCCGATTTCATTTCTGCCTATTCAGTTATAGCCAACAGTTTTGCACAGGGATGTACTGTCTTTGGATGCACCAAAACAATAAAAGATATGATCTGTCTCCATTTTCACATAGAGATCTGGTGGGACTTAACCTCTGGAAGTGATGCTTTCCAAGGAGCATCTTCCCAGGCACCCAGAACTGCCAGCACACAAACCACAAAGCACTCCAGGAAGCTTCAGGCTCTTTTAAAACACAACACTCAGATCCTAACATCCTGCTAACAGGAGCAGTGCTGCTTCTTTTGCAGTAAGACAGCCTGTCAGGTGAGTTTAGCAAAGTGCTGTGCCAGGTACCCATGTCTGCACTTGGCATTGGCACTTGGAAGATGCAGGATCCTTTCCTGCCTCAACCCCACATTCCCATAGTTCAACACTATCATTGAGTTACCTCCTTTGGTGGTAAAAGCAGGACGTTTCTGCACTCCATGTGCCATGGGAAAGATCATCCCAAAGCGAGGAGGCTTTGATTTGGTGCTGGACCGAAGGCAGCGAGCCCAGAGTCTGCTGTGTGCTGACAGCCACACGCTGCCATGGTCTTTGCAGGAGGCAGCATCCAGTGGTTAGAGACGTCCTTCCCACTCCTCATGTGCCTGGGAGAGGAGAAAAGCTGCAAAGAGTTATTCAAACCATAGGCTTAGGGCAAACCTCTCCCTCCTGGCAGATGCTCCTGACTTGGGCCGGATTTAGAAAAACAGAGCTGACCAAGCCCTGCTTCATCCTTCAGTGGGAAATACAGAGAGACAAGAGTATGCTTAGCTGTGAGAAACCTGATCCCAGAAAGAGGAGAAAGCAGGGTGGAGAAGGAAACACATCCTAATGCCAGCGGTGACCCAAACCAGCTCTCAGAGCCAACAGACTCATGGAGCCAGAGAGGACAGACCCAGCTAAAACCAGACTGCTTTTGGTGTCTGTGACCTTGCATGGGCAGTGCTGTGCTCAATGGGATGGCTTTGAGCAGTCGAGAGCAATGTGCTGATCCAAACTCACCTCTGCACAGCGGTGGTCCGCCCACTCCCCATGCAGGAGCATCCATCCCTATGCCCAAGCATCTCCATTAGCCTGGAGGGAGATGCGGTCACCCCACTGTGGGAAGTCAGGAGAGGCTTTTTGCTTCCAGAGGGATGTGGGTTTAGGGAATGAGCGCTGCACCCACCTGCTGCAGTCTCAGTGCTTCAGTGGGACAAACTGCCAGACTCGACAGGAACCGAGGTCTCATTAGAGCGACTGAGGCTTTGGCAGAGCAAAGGCTTCTCAGCTTCCATTTATAGGCCCCGTGGCAGCAGTTCAAGGCAGGGCAGTGCGCACCATTGCATTATGCAGTCTAGACAGCGCTGGAGCGCTGCAATCCTGAAGAATGCCTCTTCCCTGCCCTCACATATGATTCCAAACCCAGCAGCATTCCTCAACCAGGAGCAATGTGGGGAAATACTGAATTCCTGTGTTCAAACAGACCCTTTTGCACTATTGTCTCCCTCTAAAACCTCCAAAAGTCTGCCTGGATTATGGAGGTTGCCAGCATGAACTCTCTTTCAGGCTCCCCAGAGGAAGGAAATGGAGAACTAAAAGCTGCCTAAACCTCATTTTTTTGTTCCTACCTGGAATGAAAACAGCAGCTTTGGAGCAATTCTTGAAATATCTGTTTTCAGACAGTTTTATTCCTCTTTTTCCTCACTCTGAGCTGACAGAGGAGACCCACCTGCCTGAGACTTCGCTGCCTCCAAGCAGTGCTCCCTTCTCTGTTAAAAGATGCTGAGATGAATGGTGTCCAAGCAGCTGTGCTCCTGGGTATCTGCAGCCTCAAATTGAGCAGGAGATGCTTTGAACCTAACCCAAAAGTTGAAACAGAAGTAGTTTTATTTATTGGAAGATTCCTGTTGTGTCTTAACTGCTAAATTCACTTCTAATGAGCTGAGGAGATAAGCAGCACTTCAGCAGCCCCTGAAATACAATCAGGGGGGAACAGAGCAGCATTTTCCTACCCATCACCAGAAACGGGGATGACATCTGGGCAATGCATCCTCACTGTTCAGACTGCAGCAGGGCCCAGCAGCAAGGACTCAGTCATTCAGCAGCAATTCAAAGGAGAAAATAGGATCAAATGATGATGCTTTAGACTTTGCCAGGCTGCCTCTACCCGCACACCAAGCACGTACTCGCTTTCCTTAAGTGGATTGATAAGCACTCTGGATCAGTATTAACACACGCCAGATGCTGGGGAATCATCTCCTACTTATGGCAATTATGAGGATGCCCCAGAATCCAATAAAGCAAGTGAGAAGATGAGCATCTGGTAGGGGTTGTCAGGCCCCGACACAGCAAGATAAATCTATGCAATAAAGAGGTGTGATTACTTCTTTCCTTGAGTCATATGGCTTTTAGCACTGGATACATGCAATTCCTCCCTCCTTCAGGGGTTCTCCTCAGGAGATGAGCAGAGCATCCTTCCTCCAGTGGGAATGCTGAGCTGCTCCCCCTATCCTGCCCTTTCTGTGCTGAAATCCAGCCACCACGTGCGTCCCCAATCCCACCAGCATCACCCAGCCAGAGGGACCTGTGCAAAGTGACCACGCATCACCATCAGACAGCACCTCCAGCCAGAGAAACCACCAGGTGAGACCATCTCCCTCTCTCCAACCTGGATCACCTCGTCATCCATGGCCATGTCCACTCCACTCCATTGCTCAAGGTAAGAGAACCTGCCACATGCTGAGGTCTGTTAAAAGACATACAAAGTGGTGAAGCAGCGAAGGTTATTTCCTACATAAACCAGCCAAGAAATGATGGTCGTGCACAGGGAATGCTCTGTGGATTACACAACAGTGCAGACACGTGGCTGAAACAGCATTTTAAACATACTTAATGGATGATTCCTAGAAGTAATAGCAAGTTTTATTCCTGTGAAAGGCAGCAGAGCCAAGCTATATTTAACAGAGGAAAGAAGCTAGGAGTAATCTCCAAAGGTCTGATAATGCAGAGTCTGTGCTTAAACATGCTCCAGTACATCTTTAGGCAGTAAATGCCAGCTACAAGGCTGGTTTTCTCAGTTTGGGTAGCAATTTTGGGACTCATTGATTTTAATATCAGAAGCAGCCATTAAGGCACCTCCTATGAGCTGCTCTCCACCACAAGCCTAAATGTTTCATCCAGTACAGAACAGGGATGGAGGCTGGATAAGTAAGAACTATTTGCAATGAGTGACACACCAGCCTTTGCCCACAGCCAAGAGCTAGCCCAGATCCATCCGTCCTTGCTGCCAGGGCCATTCCCATGAAGGTAGCTCCTTAATGCCTTCCCTATCCTCACAAACCGATTTGAATCCCATTTTCCTTCCCAGAGCTTTCTTAGACAACACTCAGAAAATGAGCAGAGGAAGAGAAACATTGGGGACCATGAATGTCAGCAAATGCTACCCATCCGGGACCACATTCTTACCTCTGGAGGCCCCAGCAGTCATGGTAAGCATCCTCCCAGGCTCCCACCCCACTGAAATGCACCCTGCCAGGAAGACTTCCAGGGGGGAATCTGCTCCTTCTTGTTTATCAGTTTTCCTTTGGGCTTTTCCCAAAGCAGAGCTTTTTGTCCATGCAATTTCCTGTGAACATCTGAGAAGAAACATGACCAACATCGTTTATAGCAGCAGCATCCGATGAAAAGCATTGAATGGACCCAAAGTTACAGTGTTAACACTGCCATAACTTTAAAGTCCATTTTAATGTACATTTGTGCTCCTAGTTTACTTTTGGTAAGATTGAAATGCTTGGCACCAGCTCCAGGTTTTGAGGGCTGTGGATTCAATTTGCAAAGGACCCTTGGGAGAGAGGGGGATGCTTCTTCCTAGAGAATAATACTGTGTGTCTGAAACCTCTTCAAGGCTGTGGAGCCACCATTCTGGATCCTGGCTGGTGTGAAATCCAAAGCCTAACAGGAAATCACATTTGAGTCAAACTCACCTTATTCCTCCCAAGAAGCTGCTGCTTTTCTTCTTTGTTTAACTGTGACCAATTCTCTGTTTGAGATCTGCTTCTTGTTGTGTACCCAGTACCTGGTTCCTCTTCTATAACCTTGGGATCTTTGACGGCACAGTGTTACTACTGTGCCGACTACATGAAGTACACTTTTAATGTCCCCATTAGGGACATTAAAATGAGCTTTAAAGTATGAACTCAATGACTTGGAATAAAATCCAGTTCATAGCAATATTTGACTTTAAAAGCACTGTGGAACTACTTAACCACTTCCTGCACCAAGTCCCGTTGCAGGGAATACAATTAAGATACTTTGGCTCCCATTTTTCAGCAAGTGTATCCATGATAGAGCTTTCCTAAGTGTCTGCTGCAAAGTGCTGTCAGCAACACAGCAGCAAGGCTGTGCAGAGAAAGGTGCTGTGCTTTTGGGACTGCAGAAGACCAGGGCTCAGTGTGGCCAGGCCACTGCTCCTCCCTCAGCTTCACTAAACCCAACCATTTCACTCGGTTTAGGGACCTCTGTTTAATACAGCACAGTGTTAACATCACCCAAAACCACAGAACAAGGATGCAGTTGGGTGTTCTGCTCCACTGAGGCTCATGCACAGGAAGGAAGGGGAAGAGTGAGTGTTTGCCCAGCTGGATGCTTCAGAGAACACGTCCATCTCGGTGCCTCTGGCTACGCGTCTGTAAAGTGCTGAACAACAGGAAATCGTTTGACTTGTATCAGACCAAATCAGAGAGCATCAACCCTGCAATTAGCTATAATTAGAAATCCATTCTGGCAGCACCACGGAGCCAGTTCTCAGGTCTTGACAAGTAACCCTCCCAACCAGCCAGCTCCCATCGCTACTGCCCAAGTAGCCATTCCCTGCCTGGCCATGCTAAGCCTCAGGCCCAAATTCCCCTTGGATAAGCATATCGAGTTATTTCTTGATGCACCTTTCTGCACTGCAACTTTAGAGTACTCAATCAGAAGAGATAGCCTGCTGATGTGAGATTGCATGGTGAGCAAAGACAAAGGAATCCCCAGCCTCCCACTCCAGCCATCTTCAGCCCTTCCTCTCCACCATCACCCAAATACCAACAGGCTTCTAACCCACAGTGTTGATGTGGCCAAACCCAGTGCTGTTTCTGCATTGCTAATGCCCTTTGGAGCCTGTGCCAGCTCTCAGAATAACATCCAGAATACAATGGGAGAAGCTCAGTCCAAAAACAGTCAATTGTCACCTTATTTTCAAGGAGATTTTGCGTTTGTGATTCCCCCACTTCACTGTGCTTCCAGCTAAAGCTAAACACTGCCATATGAGCACAAAACCCCAGCACTTAGAGGTCCTGGTACTTAGGGATCTAGTAAAATGACAGCAGCCCCAGCTATAATTATTGCCCTGTAATCTGCATGTCATGAATCACTACAAAACACAGCAATAGCTGCAATCACTGCACATAGTTATGTGCTCTTTGCATTGAAATAAAGTGGTGGGGAAGATGGGCAGCAATTCAGTGTGGAGTAAATATGCAGTCGTTGTCGACCTTTTTCTGTCAACAGACACTTAACACTTTTCCAGTGGATGTCCTACACAACAAATAGAGGAAAGGAGTGCACAGGCTCTCCAAGCTGCCTTCTGCACATCCCCAAAACCCCCCTATCAGTGAGCTGAGGGCTGGGAAGAAAGGTGGGTAACTTGGAAAAGTTACACAAGATTCCAACCACAACTAAAATTGAGGCTTTTCTTTTACTATTCTTCCAGCCATTTGGTTCCCAGATGTTTTTAAAGGCTTTCTGAGTGTGAGTTGGAGCCAACAGGGCACCCACACCATAGCCAAGGGCAAAACTTGGTATTTTGATCTCGCTTTGAGTGCATGAACTAAATGTTCATGTTCTGCGCAGTGAAAAAGCACTGAAAATCTCAGTTTGGAAAGTGTGAGAGGCCCCATCCAGCCAATGCAATGCAGTGCCAGGGTGGAGGAGAAGAAAAAACACCTCTTGTAACTCTCAGATCTGCTGGATAAGGTCATCACTTCCAGCTCCTTCCAGATATGTCAGATAAGGTCATCACCTCCAGCTATTGCACATCTTTGCACATCAGCTGGTTTCCTCTATAACTTATCTCTGAGGCAACAAGTCAGGTTAACTCTGCTGCCAAGCTCAGCTCTTTAAAATGCTTACAGCCAGCTGGTACCTCCACTGGGCTGAGACAGGAGCTGGTCCATGGAGAGACCAGATGGACACCAACCTGCGCCACAGGTGATGCTGAGGATGGCACCAGCCCAGAAGCCACAGCTCACCCATGTCAACACCATCAACTCACGCTCATATGGCAGGAGACCTGAGCTGCAGTTCCCATGAGGCTCATGACCAGCCTCTGAACCTACCCAAAAAGAAACCTTTCCATGTCATCAGAGATCAAGTTCAGCAAAGCCAAAGCTGCTGCACAACCGCAATTCCCACCCCAAGAATAAAAACCACATCACATCAATACACAACTTCTGACTGAGCTCCTGCCTCCCACGTGGGACAGCATCCCTAGCACATGACTTAAACACAATGACCAAATGCTCCACTGCAAAACAGCAAGGACAAGGCCAAATTCAAGGTTTTCTGCTGCTAAATCCACATGATTCTGCTGGTTACAATAGATGTTTATTAGTTTAAATACAGTTCAACTCTTTCTCTAAAGCTCAGTACTTACAAGTGCCTCTGTGTGCGTATTAGCGGCAGAGATAGATAAAATGGTTATTCAGCCATCCCACAGCTCCCTCTTTCTCAGTATGTGATTTGTTCATATTCTAAAGAGACCCTGGTATTAATACTTATTTTAGATGAAATACAAGACTGGGAAGAGGAGGAAAATCTTCCTGTGTGTGGCAGACTTCTTTGTATCTCACTGCATCTCCCTCCAGAGCCATAGCTGTTGGTACTGAAAGGCAGAAAATCAGCTGAGCCAAGGACCTCTGCCCTGCACTAAGAAATGCAATAAGAAATACTTTCACACTCAGGCCAGGAGGATCATGCATTGATCTGCTGAGGTTTCACTGACCTCTACACTGCTGTGTGCTACAGAAACTGTGCTGAACTCCAGGCAGCTCCACCAAACAAGCATCAATGTGACCTAAAACACCTCTCATGGGAGCAGAGAGATGGTGGAAGGCAAAGAGGAACCAAAGAATCCCACTTTATTGAGTGAATTTGAGCACAGGAAAGAGCATGGGGAGGTAATCTTAGTGTGAGGTCAGCACCCATATAAAGGGGAGGTCCTTCATCCCCCTGAGCCCAAACTGGCCCTCTCCCAGCAGTGATGCTCTGCCCATCATTCTCTGCAGGTTTTTGCTTCCCAACATGACAGAAGACTCATTACTTAAGGCAGGAAGAAATACTCCCTCTGCAGTTATAGCACACAGCAGAGGAACGAGTTCATTTCAGTGGCATTTGCCTCTGGATGAGCAACAAAGGCAGAAATGAACACCCCAAGAACAAGCACAAAACCCCCACACGAACTCTTGTGTTACGCCCGGTAGCTCACTGGGAAAGCATGATGCAACAGAAATACTCTGGCTCCTGCTGAATCCATGTGTGAACATCAATTGTTAAGCGGAATAATTCATTGCGCTTTGACTTTCACCACGGGCCCTAAGACTCAAATCCATGTTCTCTCCAAATCAGTTATTTCCAGCCTATCTCCTGTGGTGAGGTACACAGCTAGCAGGAAATTCCCCTGTGACACCTTAATAAATAGCTTAACTCGAGTATAATTTACTAAGGTTTAAGTGTGTGCTCAGAAAGACCCATTTATGTTGCGGGAACTTGTGCCAAAATTGGCATCACCTCTTTCCAAGGCTTTCTCCATCAAGCAAGCTGTGCTTGGGTGGAGAACTCTACCTGTGCCCTTTCCCATGGACCACAGAGGCTTGAAAATATAGAGAGAAGCAATGTAAAAGATGCTTTCCACTCTTGGAGGTCCTAGGACAGAATTGACCTTCTCAGGCCCTGAGGCTGCACCCCTGTTATCCAGGTTTTCATTGCAGCACCCACACTGCTGGGACGCAGTGCAGAAGCACCAATAGGCATAGCTGACAGTGATTAATATTGCCCCAAATCCCAGCTAAATACACCATGTAGTAATCAAGGATTAACCACCAGCACCTCCAGAGCAGTTGTAAGCAGTCCAGGTACTTCTGCATTGATCCTAGTCTCCAAATCAACCTTTTCCCTTCAGAGAGCAAACTCACATTCTGCTCTACACGGCATTCCCTACCCTGTTGCTCACCCGCTGGTGGCGACTAAGGGTTAATAAGGACGCCAAGGCAATAACAGCTGAATGTTCTTCTCACAAGGAACCCTCCTTCTGAGCCTCATTAAAACTATCCTGATTATTGCCTCAAAAAACACCTCATTGCTGGTTCTCCAATAAGACAGTGAGTCTTCCTCATCCCCCCCAATGCAGGAATGAACCAACTGTAACTGACCCCTAAAGCCGATGAAGTCCATGATCATCCTGGTGGCTCAAGACCCCATGTTTAAAATGCTGGAGGCATTTTATACAGAGCCTTTTGAAGCTACAGGTTCCAGTGCCGTAACTCCATCTTCATTTGATCTGAACACTGAAGGCAGACATGCTCCTCCCAGGCAAACCCCACAGGCTCAGTGCAGGAGAATCACCGATTCTCCTTATTTTACATCCTATTGGGATAAAGAAAATAAACCCCACAACATTCCTGTTGACTTCCAATAAAGTGGGAAAACAGGAGGCAAAGCTGACAAGCAGCTGAGACCCAAATAGTTCAATTGGTCTGATGGCAAGAGAGCCAGAGGAGCCTGCAGGCAATCAATGTTGGGGTCAATCCCCCAGATCCAGCAGACACATCTATTCTGGCAGCATTAGGAATGGAGCTGTTATCCTCTTGAGGTCCCTCCCAGCTCCTCCATTTATTCATATTGTATTTATTGCAGAATAAGCTATTTAACAAATTCCTGTGGCACAGCTGCCTCCATGAGCACTGGAAATCATTACTTTCATTGCCCAATGTTTTGTCTACCAAGAGCTTGCCCTGAAGAGTCATTGCCAAATAGCCCATTCCTGGTGGCCAGCCACAGAGCCAAGGTTAAGATGACCCCAGTGAGCAGCAGAGATTGACATGGTTAGAAAGGGGAAAAACAAATACAAACATGAAAAAGGGGGGAAAAAACGAACCTCAGGAAAAGCTGAGCAGGGATGGGGCCTGGGAAGAGGAAGGATCTTCCCCCCCCCAGCCAACATTGTGCAACATGGCATCCTTACCTAGTGGGAAGCAACAGACTGCTGCTCTGCTGTTTGTTCTTCAACATCCTAATCTACTGATGCTTCTTAATGAAGACTTTCATTGGGGATTGAAGTTGAAAGGGCTTGCCCCGTCCCCCCAGTATAAACAACAATACTGAAAACTAGTTTGGGGTTGAGCAGTTCTCTCCTTTTCCTTTTCTTTCCTTTGCAGCTTTGAAACACAAGGGTATTTTGAAAACATAAAGGGATGTAGAGGTTCTGGAATGAAACACGGGGATATTATTATTACTGTTTTATTGTTGTTATTACTACCATTATTGTTATTACTGTTATTACTATTGTTTCTATGATTACTACTGTTATCACTACTACTATTATTGCTATTATTAAGCACAGGCTTTCTTTTTAAAACCCAAACAAGTGCATGGTTGACTTCAGACTGAAGTCTGAGGGCCTCAGCTCTGCTCCCCATTCTGCCTCTGCAACCACAGCTGAGGGCTGAAGTATTCTGGAGGCTCTCCTGTCCTTACTTGCGCCTTGCTGTGACACAACCATTGCCTTGGCAGAGATGCCCCCATCAGTGGAGCACAGGAAAAGTGCCCAAACCCCTGAGGTTGTGGCTGGTTTTCACTCCTTTTATTTTCAAGCTTTCAGGGAGGGGTGGAGGAGCTGCCACCATCACCTTCCTCCCTCTCCCCCTTTTCACCTGAAAACGCACAAAGCCAAAGTCTCTCCTTCACCCCAAGACTGATCCCTTAGCATTTCCAATGCCATCCAAGCTCCTTCCCAAATCCATGGTCTTGCCGATAACACTAAATCTCTGGGATAAACTACAAGCATCCATCCTTACCCAGTTTGACAGTTTCACTTTATCTTCCTACTAAAAACCAGCCATAATTTCACAGCCTGTCTGCCTGCAGTCGTAAGAGCAAACAGCAGCCAAGTTCGTACTCCTCTTGCAGCCGAGGAGGAGTCAGCCAGCCTCCTCCATAGAGGGCCATAATATACAAACCACATTTCACTCCTGAGATAGAACTTGTTATCCACTGATAATTTAATGTGGGTTTAGGGCTGGGTTTTTGAGAGGATCTATTCCTGGGGATGAAGGTGTCCCAGTCGCAATCCCAGCATCCCCAAAAACCAGAGGCTGACTGTTTGTGGGCTGCATGAACTGCTGCTAGGCTGGGAGTCAGAGGTTTGGGATCCATCTGTGATTTTCGCATCAACAGAAGAGAGCACAAAGCCCTTTAGTTCCTCTGTTTTGTAAACAACCCTCATCCCATCCAGTGACAGGCTTTTAAATTATTCCCATGGGAATCCCACAGCAGCCCTCAGTGGTTTTACCAAGAACCTGGTGGGCAGATGAGCTATTCCAAGATTTGGGAAACGCTATGGAGAGAGGTTCAAACCCTCTGCCTTGGGTTTGGGTGCCTGCCCCAGCCAACAGCACAGGGAACATCTGTGCCTCTCCCCAGCCCTTCTGCTCGGTTTCAATTGCTAACAATAGACAAAAAATAATCAAAGTTCCTCTTTTTGAAAGCCATTAAAATAAGGAAAAAAAAACACCCTCTGAAACAATCTGCATTTTATCTTCGTAATGGCTCTAAAGCCTCCACTTGTATCCAAAAATAATTGCACTCAGCAAGGGTTGAAGAATATTCCTTTCAAATCATGGCCCAGATGTTCCACCGAGACCATTACACAGTTAACTGCCAATAAAAGTAATCCAACCAACTAAGCCCTGATTAAGGAATGTGCGCACGCAGCCCGGCATCACGGAATGTGATTTGCTGTTATTTAACCTCTAACGACACAGACACGCCGTCCCCTTCCTCCTTGGCAAAGGCAGCACCAGGCAGTGAGGAGAGGATTGCTTTGCTTTTACTATCTTGGAAATCACATCCCATAAACTCAATGCAAGCGGAGCCAATGGCCACATGGCCAAACACCACCCCCCCCCCACCCCCCCCCCCAGTGTTGCTCAAGAGGTCAGTGCTGTTTTCCAGTCCATCCCAGCACATCCAAGACAAACAGAGCCATGTCACTGTGCTGCAGGGGATGTACAGGCAGCAACAAGAACAAGCAACCTTGCCCATGCACTGGGCTGTGTGCAGGTCACCATCACCTTTCTTGTTACAGACCTGGTTTGGGCTCCAAGGGTTGATGTCCATCAGCCAGGCTTCAGATGAGAGCGCAGATGGAGCCTTCTCAGACCTCATGCGCCAGGAAAGGGTTAGGAGACAGCCCAGAAACAGCCCCAGGACACACTAGCCACTCTCTTGGACCCTGAAGGTGGTTTCATCTTGTTTGTGCTTAGCAGAGCAAAAACTGATTGCCAAGTAGGATAGGAACCACCCAGCCTCCTGAGCCCAGAGCAGCTGGGAGCCTGCTGAGGCCAAGGGGATGAGCCTTGAAAAGCAGCCAGGTGAGGTAGATGGGAGGACGTATCCAAACCCATGGGCTGATGGGAGCTGCCTGTGGGTTGGACGGGGCACATCTCACCTTCTGCCTTCCCTGTCCTGCAGCTTCAGAATTCATTTCCACTTTGTATGCTTCTAAAGGCTTCCTTTAATACCCTATAATTGCATTTTTGTAGCAAAAACATGCTCTGGAGTGAAGAGGCTTCCTCTCTCAAAGAAACATCCCCAGTGCAAGTGGAGAGGCACTGATTGCTCTATCAGGTTCTCCGGGGCTTTTCTCTGTGTTGCTAGCTAACAAAAACATGTTCTTAATTTAAGCATTTAACCCAAATATCTCCCTTTTAATTACAAGCTGAGGAAGAGCAACAGCCCAGAGCAACAACAAATGCTTCTTTCACTGAACCATCACAGCAGGGACCAGGGAGGGATTTTACACAACCAGGGTGAAGAACCCCCCCCCCCCCAGGGCTGGGGTATTCAGGCAGAAAGGACCTCACCAAACTCCCCACATAAGGTATCACCTTCCCTGGGAAACAAGCCCATCAATTCAATGGCAGGAGGCTGCATCCAGGCTGGGAGGTACACCTTGAGAACCACAAACAGCTGCCACTACCATGGCCCATTGATTGCTCATAGGCAGAGTTTTCATAGGCAGCACTGCCCCCTGATTGGCCCATCCTGACCACGCCGACTATGTGAGGCTCCACCCCCCGGTGGTGGCTCCGCCCCCCAGCCCATGTGCTGCCCATCACCCCTGCCCATCAACCTGTCCATCATCACATCCACTGTCACCCCTGCCCATCATCACATCCACTGTCACCCCTGCCCATCATCACATCCACTGTCACCCCTGCCCATCATCCTGCCCACATCCCTGTCTGCATCCCTGCCTGCACTTGCTGGATGCTTTGCATCTGGCAAAGGGGAGATCTGTTGCTCCACAGGCAGGAGAATTCCCATTGGATGCTGCCAGCCAGGGGCTTCAGATCCAACAGTCAGGCTGGGAGAGGGCACTTGGCCCTGACAGCAAAGTGGAAAGGGGGGATGAAAGCCCACGAGGGTCTTGGGCACCTCCCTGAGCCCTGTATGAAGTGTCCAGCACATCTGTGCTCTATCTGGGGCTATCCCTTGCCAAAAGCCTGGGTCAGATACAACCATTGAGCGTCTGCTGTAAGGCAGGAGCCCAAGCAAGCAGCTGCATCTTCCATATCACATTGTGGGTGGGAAGGAGTGCTAGAGGAGGGCTGGCTCCAGAGGGGCTCCAGCCAGGACTGGCAGTCAAAGCCTCATGGAGGATCGGAGGGAGCAGCCGAGCACGCAGTGACAGCCCATTGAGCCCCGGCTGGGGGAGCAGCCAAAACCCTCAGCACCACAGGGTCAAGGAAACAGCAAAGACCTCGGACATGAACCCAAACATGAATTCCAGAAGAGCTGGAATCATCCTGGTTTTCCCCTGGGAGGGTCCAAGCTGCAGCTTTGCCTCTATTTACAGCTCTGTGCTAATGCATCCCTTGCTCCTTGTGGTTTTCTCCCTCCTTACCAGGGATACAAAGTGGAATCATCTTTATTGAGCATCTCCACGAGCAGAACAAACCCCTCTCTTGAGACAATGCACCATGATCTCCCTGTCCCCATCACATCCCTGTCCCCATCACATCCCTGTCTCCTTAAAACAACGGCTGCTGCTGGCTCTGGTGTGTAAAGAGGAAGAAGTTGGCGCTGGAGCTGAGCATGCCCACACCACGATGTGCTCAGACACAACTTGTCTCCTCCAATTCATATCTTTATATTCTTTATAACGCTGTGTAGCTGCCTTGGCATTTAATCCCTGTAATTAATGGGAGGGTGAGAAAGGGATAGCTCTCATCTCTTCTCCCTCTTACAAACACAATCTGCAGGGTGGGACTGATTCAGTTCTGTAGCATTTCAAGCCCAGTAAAGAAGACAAGAAGCAGCAGACAGAGGCATTTACCTTCTGGCAAGTACGAGACGTCTCTAAGGAAGATGATATTTAAATCAATAACGTGTGAAAGGATCCAAATTACATCCCCAAATATTTAAAGTAACGTGTCCAGAAAAACAAAAGGAATCTCTTTTGGTTATTAAAAGATGACTTTGACAATGACCTGCCTGGCTCCTATCTGAAACACAGAGGAAGTCTTCCTTAGCAGGAGATGTCATCCTGCATTTATTTAAAGCTTTAATGATATGTTTGGGGACATCATCTACTCCTGAACATTTCTCTGCTGCAGTTGTCTGGAAGAAGGAGCTTTTTACTTTTTTTTTTCCATCTTTAAATAGCAAATGAGGACAATTATCCCATGGTAATTCCAAATGAGAACTTGATTCCGCTTTAGCTGGTGGTGTCCTGTCGAGGCAGATTGTGCAGGTCAATTTTAGGAATGCATCCACCCATCCTGCTCTGCTCCTCTTGAGACTCATGGAGGGGGGATTGGTCCTCGCATTCCAGCCCATGGACCAGTGCACAGCCTGGCTGCAAGAGCAATGAACCAAGGAACTGGAACACGACAAGATGCTGAGGGATGAGTGTGGGACGGAGATGGGGGATCCCCGCTCTGCTCCCATGGGATTCCAAGCTACGACTGAGCATGGAAGTGACACTGGGCAAAGCCATAGTGCTGGCACTATGGGAGCATCACTGAGATGTTCTACACAACAGTGAGCAGAATGGTTTTGCATTCCAGCTGGCAGTCCCTAACGCTTTAGGAAGGACCAGAGCGCTTCAATCTATTACAGATTAATGGGATTGACTTACTATGATTTTGTTTCTGTTTAATTAGTCTCATTAAAAGCAGAACAATCCTCCTGTGGAGCACACAAATGACACAGAGGCTCTGGCCCAGCTGCCGCTTGGCTCCTGATGCATTCGCTCAGAATTAGCCCTGCAAACCAGGAAAGATTTAATGGCTTCTGGGTGAGATTAGCAACAGGGAAACAGCTCCGGAGGATTAGGAGGGAAACGAGTATGAGCCAGTTTTTGATGGAGCGTTTGCCCAATGCTGCTCTTCAAGTCTAAGGAGAGGCAGTGAGTGTCCATCAGAGGGATGACAGATGCGGAGCTGCGTTTCTTCCTGGTGATTCATCTGGTGAATTCCAGAGTGTAATTTCAGATGGGTCATCCCATCTTTTATTGAATCAAAATAAAGGAAGAATCCTATCATTAGCCCCAGGCCGTTACTTAGTGTTGGGCTCATGGTGATGCTGCTTTGGGGAAGTCACCTCTGGCCTATGAAAGGGCTGAAGACCCCAGGGTCCCCATGCAGAGAGTGCTGCTGCAGCACAACACCCCTTTACTCTCTCCTAAGCAATGTGGCCAGACTGCTGCCAAACATTCCCCTCGTTCCATCCAGTTTTACGTCCTAAAAGCTTCTTTTCTCCCTCAGTATCAGGAGGACCAGCTCTTCGGCTGGTGGGAGCCCTTCCCATCCTGCAGACCCCAGCCTCTGAGGAGAGCCCGTGCTTGCCCAGTGCCCCCCATGGCCTTGCCAATACAGGCAGGACCACCAAATTTTCCTTCTTGCTACCTCATGTGTGGTTCAGTACATAAAGGAATCCAAATGTAATCATTATAATAGTTCTGTCCCAAAGAGCACAGGAACATGGGCACAGCCAGCATCCCTGAGCAGAATCATAGAGTCTGTGTTGGAAGGGACCTTAAAGCTCATCTCATTCCAATCCCCCTGCCATAGACAGTGACACCTTCCACTAGACCAGGTTGCTCAAAGCATCACTTGATGCTTTTGAGAAGCAGAGCATCATTTGTTCCCACCAGCCCTCACCCACCTGCAGAAGCTGCAGTTTCTGCTTATGATTTTTCTGACAAAGCATGGAAAATACGTAAAAGTTGGTATTACAGGAAAAAAGCTCAGAGCAACACCCCCCCCCCCCCCCAAGCCTGAACCCAAACTCTTTAAATATCAAAAGAAAGAGCAATTTAGAAATTGCATTTCTAAATGAGAGCATTAACTAGACCCTGTCTTCCAAAGAGCAAGAGACAGAGGGGACTGATGCTACCACCCAGGCCAGCCCAGGGGACCAATCTCTCTCCCCGGCAATAGGAGCACTACAGGCTCTAGGATGGATGCTTGGCCAACAGCTCCTCTGATGCCTGTTTGCATACCCCAAACCCCCGAACCCAGCACTTCCCAGAGCCTCCCCTTGCAGCAAAACCGAGCCCTGCTCCAGCCATATGAAAACACCATTGACTATCCCCTCCTGCAGTTTTTTTCTGTCCTCCCCTCAGCAGAGTGCCAGCACCAGCCCAGTCTCGTCACGTTCCCTTTGTTTACAGCCAGTTTCTCCTCCATGTCCCTCCCTTGGCATGGTGCTCCTCAACCTGCCGCTCGCTGTGCTCTCCACGCTGAGCTGGATGGGTCCCAGCCCCAGCACATCCCCGCGGCCGAGCCTCTCCCAGCGAACTGCAGGGAGGAGTTTCCTCAACTCGTTTGTTTAGGAATTAAGAAAATAAAAGCCGAGGCTGAGCCGTGCGCCAGGAAGCAGCGCGGAACGGCCGCAAGCCCTGCCCAGGCACCCGGAGGTGCTCACACACCCCATCCCCGTACACTGACCCTAACACAGCCCCCAGACCCCCGCAGCACCGGCCTCGGAGCCCCGGCTACAGGCTTTACCCGGGGGGGCACTCTCCGTCTTTGGGAGAAACAAGCACCGAAGGGCCGAGGGCAGGCGGGGGGGGACCGGGGCTGCTCCGGGTGCTGCGGAGGGGCGGGCGGCGGAGTCCGGGGCTGCTCCGTCGGTCCCAGCGCAGCCTCTCCCGGAGCCAGACCCGGAGCCAGACCCGGACCCGGACCCGGACCTGGACCCGGCTCCCTCCACGCCGTCCCCGATCCCCGATCCCCCGCCCCGGGCCCCGAGCGCCCTGCCCGGTCCCCGCCCCGAGGTGCCCGCACCCCCCGGCTCCGCCGCTCGAGCTCCCCCGTGCGCCCTGCCCCGGGAGGCGGCGGCGGCGGCGGCAGCTCCCGCACCCGCACCCGGCGCTGTCCGTGCCCGCGGCTCCCGCACCGGCCATGC